TATATATATATATGACTTTTATAAAGGAACTCATGCATATTAGGTTTTGTTTATATAAGCTTAAATTTTTTAAAAGAACACATGCATATTAGATTTTATTTTTATTAGCTTGACATTTTGTAATTGAGCTTATTGTTATCAAACTAGCATACTAACTCATTAATTCGGACAGTTTAGAAGTTAACTTGAAAGCAACTCGTTTGTTTTGTGTGAAATTAATAAATTCAAATGCAAAATCGACAAACTCGTATGGAATCGTGAGTTTAGAAGCATGTGTAAGACTTCGATGAAATTTTTTTTAAAACAAAACCTAAGCTTATGATCTCACCATACTAGGACTTTTGTGTTTAATATTTTTTTCTTAACTTGTCCCACATCATCCTTTTTTTCTTCTTTACACTGTCGCACATCACCCTCTCACCCAATGCAGTCCCTCGCACAATGCATATTTTTAGCATTGTCACTTAAATTTAGTAGATACTAATCCAAGTGTATCTTCATGTGTTAAAAATGCTATGAGAAATTGGTGAGACATTAGATGGAAACATGAATTTAATGTTAGTGATAATGAGAAAAAAGTGTTAAATGTAACTATTATTTTAAGATTGTGAACTTATTTGAATTAGGATGTTATTTCCTATCATTTCTTTCTCATGAGTTTACGATTTAAATTTATTAGGCTCTCACAAGTTTAGATAAACTAACCTTAATTGAGCTTATAAACCTAATTAAAACTCAAGTTTAAATTCATGTTTGCTTCAAATTTGGGACCATTTAAATATATTGGATGTGCTCTAAACTTGTACACCAAATCATTTGCTAAATTTTAGAGTTTTAATTTTCTCTTCGTATTCTTTTCTTTCTTTTTCTGTCTTTTATGTCCATTTTCTTTTCTTTTTTTGATAGATTATCTTCTCCTCTATGTTACATTTTGTGTTTTTAAGAACTCATTCTTGAGATTCAATTTGCAGAATTTTTAATATCATACAAGTCTAATTGAGTTTTGCATCAATTGTTGATGATTCCAAACTCCTTAAATTTTCTCTAATTTTAATTGTTCCTTTAGTGATTGAATTTTAATTGATATTTAAAAATGGATTATATTCAACAATATTTTAATTTAATTTGTATAATATGTTAAATTGATTATGTGCTATAACATTCGGTATATATTGAGATAGACTCAATAGATGAGCAGGTGGAAGTTGATTGTGAGGGGTCTAAGTGGAAGAATACAATACGAAAATGGGAAACAAAATCATACTAATACTAATTCTAGCATTGATCCTTGACAAATTTGGGTTTATGGATTGAAAATTTTGAAATAGAAATTGAAACCGATTTTATTTGAATCAAAATACAATAAATGGCAATAAAATGGAATTTAATCAATTCACTATTCTATAAAGATCAAGATACAAGCTTAAATAATTAATCAATTCAATCTCATTAATAATTTTATTAGATTTAGTTTATTGTACACAGACCATATTAGTATCATCCTTTCTTAATTTCTTTAACTATCTCGATTTTAACACAAGTCAAATTATTAAAACTGTATTTTCAATTATTAAACTTTGTTTTTCCTTCAACAATTCTTTACCCTATTTTGATAATTTCTCATTTCCATTCGCTCAAATTTCGTTACTACTTTTGTTCATCCTACAGATGTTATACCTAATCTTTACTTAGATACATTATTGTGTTTAATGTTTTCTAAATTTTTAATATTTTATTCTTTCCAAATATAAATTGATCAAATAAGCAAATTCACGTTTTTTGTCAATTTATTTTCCATTCTAATTTTCTTAAAGGAAAGCTTTTCCAAAAAAATGAAGATTTTTTATCTTTTATTTTCATATCAACAAACTTGAACATTGTTCTTCCAAATTGATTCCTTCGAAATATTTTATTCAAATATTTATAAATATAATATAACACGGTTGTCAATATTTTTTCTTTCCTACAAACATATTTTATCACAAATAAATATCGTAAAACGTTATATCATCATCAAGAAACGTATATCACCACCCTTCTCCCTTTTAAAACAAGAAACAAAAAAAAATTTAAAATACTAAAAAAAAAAGAAAAGGAAAAGGAAAAACTAGGGAACAAAAAATCCCGGAAAAAAAGGCAACTTCAGAAACACATAAAACAACTATATAATAATAAAAACCCATTAACGAAGGTATTTTTTAAGCAATGAGAACTCACCTTATGGAAAGTTAAATGGGAAAATAGGAGAGACAGAACTTTACAACTTTTCACAAATGTTTACATCTCCACCAACGAAATATTCACCTTCTTAACAAAACACAAATGCAACATTTTTCGATAAAGAACAATGACCATACCAACCAAATAAAATAGGATTTTAGGGACAAATTGCTTACCCAAAGTCCACACCTCACAGCGGCACCGTCGACAGCGGAATAATGGTAGCTGTGATGCCATACCTTTCCTCCAGCGCTGCATTGACGAGAGCAGGGAAAATGCAAATGCGAACAAGAAACACGAAAGTTGAGAGTGGAAAATTAATTGCTACCTGTTCAAGTAAAAAAGTTTTTTTCGCCCGTTACAGCTCGTATTAAGGATGAAAAAAAAATTCTGCACCGACAAATATCCGTAGATAAAATTCGTAACGGATAGTTAGTATTTGCGAATATTTAATATTCGTGGATAATGAATAGTGGATATTTAATATCCGTTTAACATTAATTTATATTTTATTAGGTTAAATTTAATTAAAATTAAATTTTAATGTATATTTAATTTAATTTTTATTATTTTATAAATTTTTTGTAATTTTATTTAAATTTTATTTTAATAATTTATAAAAATATTCTTTTTTTAATATCTACGGGTATCCGTAGGTTTTTAAAATATCTACGGATATATTTTAAGCAAATATTCGTGCGGGTAGCAGGTCGAGTAGAGAGTGAATTTTTCTTTTATCGGATCGGGTTGCAGGTAAGCACTACCTGTGTCCAACCCGACCCGTTGTCATTCCTAACTCATACCCACTTCATAATAAATATATCTTTTTTATGAAACAAGGGTCGGTTAAACCGTAGCTAACCCATAACAACAGAAACAATTTGTCCACCTCTCATACCGCAACACGACATATAATTTAGGCTTAAATGCTTACTTTGTCCTCATGTTAAGAGGTGAATTTTTTTTTAGTACCCGATTTTAAAAATGAAGACATTGGGTCCCTATGTTATGAAAAATATATGAATAAGGTCCACAAAGAAAGAACAAGTTCAACAAATCATCAAAGAAAAAGTTGAACAAGAGAGAGATAAAGCTGGACAGTAGAAGAGAGAAGAGAAAAAGTATGGCCACATCAGCATGGACTTAACGTCGTTGCTGTCAACTTAACGGACAAGACCTTATTCATACACTTTTCATAACATGGGAACCAATGTCTTCATTTTTAAAACCGGGTACTAAACAGAAATCTACCTCTTAACATGGGGACGAAGTAAGTATTTAAGCCTATAATTTAAATTCCAAAATTTAATATAAATGTGTCACTTGAACAGATGCTTAAATATAATTTTTAATATAAAATTTTACTTTAAATTCCATCTCAAGGAATTAGCAGGGTTTCGAAGATTTTTTTATATATATTTTATTTCCTTTTTGCGTCATTTGAGTCACGGTTTCATTCCTTAATATTTTTAAATTTTAAATAAAATTTTAAGTCCTTTATCTCGTAAACCCTAATATTTAGAATCTATTCCTAGACACCTTATTAGAGTTATTAGTAATTTAGCTCAGTGAAAATTTTCATATTCGATTAACAATAACTAATTAGAAAAAAAAAAAAACACTCCGTCCATGTCTCAATATTTCAAAACAAATAAAAAATAAGAAGAAACTTAAATAATAATACTATTGTGATGTAATAAAAAGAAGATTAAAAATAATAATTTATTA